GAATTAATTCCCCTGTTGAGCCAATAAAATGTGGATGTTGAAGTTAGCACAGAGTGTAACTCTGAGCCACATGAGTGAGAACTGAGAGGGTTTCTTAACTGAGGAAGCCATGCTGGTGACTGTCAGAGGACACATCTTTCCTTTCACAAAAAAGCATGCAATGAATCAGCTGCTGATGAAGAAAATATACCTCTTTGCCACCTTTTTTCTTTTTATCTGAGAGTCACATCTGCATGGCAAAATGATGAGCGAGAAGCCCGCCCTTCCTTCAGAACCCTGCACTTCTATCTGGCAGCAGAGCAGATGTGGCTCAGCTGTCTAGAGACACAGCAGTGATGAAGATGTAGAACATCTGAAGACCAGAGACTTGTCTCTGGATTTTTGCCATGGTGTTTTGTAGATTCTACCTCCATCCTCCCTCACCTGTGGGAGAAGGTTATGATGTGACAGGGAGCAATGCTGTCACACAGCTGAGTGAAGCTGCACCTTTATGTGCTAGTACCAAAAAGTCCTTTTGTAGGAAGGCAGAAATAAGGAGAGATTGGGAGACCAATTCAAAAATATTCTGGGATTTTTGTGGTTTTGTGATGTTTCTTCACTCTCCCAGGTGTCTCATTAAAAATGAATTAAAATGAGACAATTAGCTGCTACAGAGAATTTACAATGCTGCTACATCAAAGTACTTTGGAATACTCACTAAATAAGAGCCAAGTAAATGGTACCTATCTCTACTGCCTGTCATAAAAACCATGGACATGGTGAGGGTCCTGGAGAGATGTGCTCTTTATTGAAGAAAGAAAATAAATGCTTAAAAAATGCTAATTATATACAACATATATAAATTAATATGATTAGCAATAGCTTGACTGGCTTTTTCTTTCATTTATCTTTTTTTTCCCCCTGCTTCCTTCCACACAGTTTTGTTCTGTTTGGCTGTAGAATGGGTTTCCTGGTGAACAAATAAGGAAAGGCAGAAATAATATTACTTTCACAAAGCTATGGTTGAAATGCCCTTGTGCTTCTTAAAAATGGAAGCAGTTCAGCTGGAACCCACTCCCTGTCAGTGCCTGCAGGACAGCTGCAGCTTCTTCTGTCTGTCCTCTCTAACCTTGCTGCTTCTCTGGTTAGATCCTGAGCAGAATTCAGGTCTTGAACCACCATCAGGACCAAAATTAAGGCCGAGATTTCCCATGTCAAATGTGCTGTGAGTGCAGCAGCAGTCCCTGTGTGTGGGGCAGGTCCCCCTCTGGCACAGGCATGTTTGATCCCTGCAGGCAGAGCCACCAGCCTGGGCTGAGGGATCCTGCCAGCCCTCTGCTGCGAGCCAGGATTTATGCTGTTCCACATCTTCACAATGGTCTGGCTGCTCCTGCCTCCCCAGCTCTCTGCTCTGCAGGATTTCACCCCAACAAAAGGAGGAAAGAAACAGAACAAGCAGTAAGGCAGGGGAGTGGCAGGAGAGAATTTCTGATTAACTCGTTTTCACAAGCTCCATTTTTATTTGAGACTACACCAATTCCAGTTTTCATAACAATGCATTTTTCCTTTGACAAGTGCTTATTTCATTTCATATAGTTGTCTAAATAGTTATCACACTGCTAATGTTTCAAGCCAGAAATTATTCCCCAGTGTGCCAGATCCAGACCTTCCAGTAATTTGTGTATGTAAATTTAGATTATTATTATTATTATGTTCACATGTAATACTACAGGTAACAAAATGAAAGAGCAGGTACAAATTATCTACATAAAAATCTGCATAAAATATTCACATAGATAAATCTAATTTTTCTTGTTTGTAGAAATGTCTGAACATGTGAGATCTATTAATCAGTCTCACTAGTACCCTTACAGCTCATATTTATTGTGTGAATCCTAACACCATCTTCCAGTAGTTCATAAAATATGATCACTGTGAGGAGCTGAGCAGAATTCAGAACTGTATGATTATTTGGTTACTACTCTGGGTCTAAAATGTCTTTTTCTTTTTTTTTTCTCATTTGACAGGCAGCCCAACTATAGTGATCTGGGATTTAGCAGCTGATGGCTGTTCAGCACTGCAGGATGCTTTATGCAATTAGCAAAGTTAATAAAATGCTGGACAGGTGCCTTGTACTGGGGAAAAAGGCATTGTTCTTATTTGCTCAAGATCAAACAGTTATGTTACCTTGTTCCTATTAAGAAAACATTTATTCTAAAAATGGGATGAAATAAAGAATAGAATCAATTATTGACTTGTTACTGGTTGAATTTTACTGTAAGTTTCCCTGTTTTCTGCTTCCAGGAAAAATACAAGGACAATGCTTTCAGGAAACAACATCTACCTATTTGCAGAGGGGCACAGAAACAAAAAGTACACAGAAAAGGGCAAAGCTTGAAGAAGATTATCCTGGAATATCTGAGGAACAAGGTGGAGCCAGATCTCAACCATCTACCTTTAATAATGGGTGGAGGACAGGAAATATAAGAGAGGTCAGAGAGGAATAAGTTCACTGTTCCTCCTCTGTTTGACAGAGTTGATCCTTGGAAATCACACACTTATCAGCTTAACACCTGGAAAACAGCAGAGAAACTCAGTCAGTGAGAGAGAGCTGGAAAGTATCTGTAGAACTGGGGGAGCAGAAAGCTCCTGCTGAGAGGTTGGCCATGAAGCACAAGAAAAGCAAGGATAAGGTAAGTGTGAGAGTTTGCTTGTACCTCCACTGGAGAACTCCTCTGTTTAAGGTGAATGTTCTTCTGCATCTGCCCTTGAGGGAAAACTAAACTGGGTAGTTCTCTGTGAAGTAATTTCTGTGTTGTTTTAAAGGAAGATTGGAAGTCTAAGTGAGAGCCTGTAATTATGATGGGCTGGTTTTTAAAATTAAAAAAACAAAAAAAAAAAAAAAAACCAAAAAAACCCAAAAAAAACCAATAGGACAGAATCTCTAATCCTCCTAGCTTGAAAGAGAGATTGCAGAGTCAGTCTGTCAAGTTGCTTGTCCTCTGTTTCAAGTCATGTTGTTCCAGGTTGTATTGCCTTTGTGCTTCCCTCACCTCTTCTATATTTATATCCTTCTAAGAAAAGATTCTACTATAGCTGAAGGGAAAATGGAGGAAAAGATAGTCTTAGCTTCTTTGTCCCCATCTTGCCTCCTAAGCCATCCACTGCAGAGGCAGGTGCTCTCAGGGAACACACACAGCTGCCTGTGACACTACACCTTCCCCATGCCTTCACCTCTGGGACCAGAACTGAATCAAGAACAAAAAGCAGACATTAAAAATAGTGTCTGGAATATCAGCATCACTTATATCTCTGTGACTGTGTTGGATTCTCTGTCTCCTGAGCAGCCATGGGCATGTTCCAGAGTGAGCAAAACCCCAAGGAGGCCCAGCTGAAGGCAAACCAAGGGTGCTCCATGTCCTGCCCAGCTTGTGAAACCCTCTGTCTGTTTTGGTCCCTTAGAAATCTGCAGAGCACAGGTGTGAAAACAAGGAGCATTTTACTGTTCCTGCTGAGGCAAAGGCAGAGCTCCTCGTGCTAAGACCAGAATTAATGCTGATGTAGCTCCAGACTCTGCACAGAGCCACCCCTTTACCCTTTCCATAAGTCCAAAATGGTTCTCTGTTCACAGGTGTCACCTAGGTACCACTGGTAAATATGAAATGGGAGCATGACTATTGTTGTGGGCTCGGGCTGAGAAGTTTGTAATTGCTTGAAAGAGCTGTAGTCTCTTGCCTTCACTGAAATTGATAAGAGCTGGTGGTTAAGACCCTGGACTGGGTAGGACAGAATCTCTTTTGGGGATGGGGGAGCTGAATTCCAACCTGCACATTGTGTTAACAAGCAGGACTGCCCATCCCCTTAGACACTGCCCAAGCTGATAGAAGTACAGATGTGTCAGCTCTCTGTGGCTCCCCTCTGCAGCCCTGGGCTGAAAGAATTCCCTAATCCTGCTTTATCTGAAGTATTTACACACCTCGTAGTGTCCAGGTGTCAGCAGGAATGGCATGGCTGGGTTTCAGCTTTGAGTCATGGGGTGAAAGCAGTGTGGTCTGGGGCCTGTAGTGACTAGAAATCATTACCTTGTGTTGGCTGCTTGTCCTCTATAAGATGAGTTTGTGGGCTTGATCCATTTTCCTCACAGAGATGCATAAAACACCCACACATCTGACTTGTATTAGCATGTCCTTATTGGCAATTTCCCTAAAGACAAACCAAGCTGGGGAGAACTGGGGTTTTTTAACCATCTGCAGCTCACCTGGCCCATTGAGAGCACAGGTACAGCGGGGGAGCTGCACAGGGGGTGCAGGTCCTGCTCAGCCGCCCAGGACATCCTCTGCTGCTGAGCTCCTGGTCAATAACAAGGTCCTTCCTTCCCCAGTGTGTGCAATAACCTTTCCATCCTGCAAGCGCGGTGTTTCATCCTCTCTGGCTACAGGCAGCCCAGTTAAGCCCACGCTCTCTGAGGACACACACTTGAAGAAATAAGTAAATAATCTTTGTCCCTCATCTTCACCTGCTGTGAGCCAAAAGGATCGCAGGTGTCTGAACGCGGGTTCTCGGGAGCGGGGCCCCGGCCATGCGGGGTCCCCAGGGCAGAGCCCGGGCGCGGTGTCGGGGGCGGCCCCGGCTCTGCGGAGCCGGCGGGGGCAGCGCACGGCACCGCGCGGGGGGATTCGATCAGCGCGGCTGCCAAAGCCAATTATCGGGGAGAGGACGATATAATTATATTAGGGAACATCTGTACTTCATTAAAAGCCCTCGCGGGGCGGATTCGCGCCCGGCCGCGTTACACACAGGCGCTTCCAGCCTCTCCTCGCCCCCGTTCCGCGCACGGCCGCCGCCAGCCCCGCTCCGGCAGCCGCGCCGCCCCGGGGCCGCGCCCGGCTCCGGCTCCGAACCCATCCCATCCCAGCGCGGCGCGGCGGGCAGGCGGCGCTCTGCGGCCGGGCTGTGCGGGGCTCCGGGGCGGCGCGCTCCGCTCTTCCTCCTCCTCCTCATCCTCCTCCTCCTCCGCGGCGGCGGCGGCGCCGGGCAGATGCGGCGGATCGCGGGGCGGCTGTGGCCCGCAGCGGGCTCCCGTCCCCCCGCCGCCCCGATGGACGGCAGCGGGGGCAGCAGCAGCAGCAGCCGCGCGTAGCTCGGTGAGTGCCGGTGCGTCCCCTCCGCGCCCTGCCCGCAGCGCTGCCGCAGCCGCGGGTGCCGCTCCTCTGCCGCGCTCCTTCTCTCCGACCAAAAATCACCCTCGGCCCGGCGCCCCACGCGTGCTGGCGGCGGGGCCCGGCCGGCGGCGGCGCCGGGGCTGGGCTGCGGGGACCGGCTCTGCCACCTGCTCCCCGCTGCGGCTCCGGCCCCGGCTCCGGCCCCGGCTCCCCTCGGGGCTGCGGGAGCGCCGCCGGTGCTGCCTGCCGCCGGACGGGGCTTGGGGAGCGCTCCCCGCTCCTGCCGCGCCAGCGTCCTGCCCTCCTCTATCGGGAGTCCCGGGCTGGGGGTGCAGTTGGGCTCCCGAGCATTTGTTTCCGGGTAGGACTTTACCGCTATCAATTTTGGAGTTATTTTGTTTCAGTGAATTTGATTTAAATTGACCCAGCGGCTGTGAGAAGCTGAGAGGAGAATGTCAGTTTGAGGATGGTTTTCTTTACCTTACATTTAAAGATCTCTCCCTGTGTTTCCGGTTATGATTTCTTTTTACAAAATAATTTTGTTGTGCTCTATTAACTCCTGGAGTTTAACAGTCCTCCAAGACAGACAGGCTTGTTGGAGGCTGAAATAATCAGCTCCAAGGCGCAGACAGTGCCCTTGGTCGTAACAGGTGCAGCGTGCATATTCTTATGAACAATGAAATGGTTTCAGCATTCAGGTTTATTTGTATGCTCTGCGTTTCTGTGACTCTGGAGAAATTGTCATGCTGTGTTATGTCAAAGATGTGCTTACGGCGTGAGCGTGTCCGCAGTACCCAATTAGCAGGGCAGGGGAGCAGCTGCACAGACCTCCTCAGCCCGTGGTGGCTTTGATGCCCGCGGCATTCCTGGTGACATCGCATAGCCTCGGGTGTTTTGGTGGCTGTTTGAGGACCCACACTGGGCACTGCTCCCTCTGGCACAGCATTAAACACTGGGAGATGACGAGGAAAAAGAGAAGTGCAGAGGAGGAACCATTTATGCTTTGATTGTATTCTCTAGACTTGATGGTCCCTGCCCATGTGTTGAGTAGGGTGGTGATGGCACATCATATGATGTTACTGAAACCTGAAATACTGACATTTGTATTACACAGGAGAAATTTCCTGGGCATGTATTTTCCAGATAAAAAGATAGTTATTGTTTTAGTGGCTTCCTGGGCTCTTTATTTAAGGCAAATGCCCAGAGTGACACCACAGTTGGGAACTGGCTTAAAAGGAGTCACTAAGGAGTTAGAGGTGTAGATCAGGAGGAAATTAGACTGGAATTTAATTATTGTTCTCAAACCAGTGTAGCTGAAAAGGTGTATCCAGCAGTCCTTGCCAGGTTCAGCTCTTGCTGTGGGATACCTGTGCTCTGTGCTGCAGCCAGTGGCACCTCATTCCTGGAGGTGTGTCTGCCCTTCTGAGCACTGAAAGATGCCCCTTGCTGCTGCCCTGTTTCCCAGGACTCTTTTAATCTCACTGTTTTTTTAGGGATGGGAGAAGAGGTGAGCTGCCTTTGAGGGATGGGGAGGATGACTTGGTACAGGAGTGAGGATGGGGAGTGCATTTCTTTGTTACACTCTGGCTCTTTGTGTACTTCAACGAAGAAGTGCTAGAGCAAAAGAAGAGTCAAGGCTCTAGCCAGGGGAAAGTGCTGGTAATGAAGTCCTGGGTGATATTAATGGAGGCTCTGAACAAAGCAAAGGCACCAGAGATGTCTGAGAGGTCTGAGCTTATTGTGAGAGACCCCTACACTGCACAGGCTTGGAGTTATGCCTTTGTAGCTTACCCCATCATAGGGAGACAGTGCTTCCTCCTCCAGGAAAGTGGTGAAAGAAAGTAATGAAGCTGTCATGTGGAGCTGTCAGCCCTCTCCAGAGGGCCTCCCCAGTGGTGGGGTCTGCCAGGTCATGCTGATAACTGCAACAGCAGTGAACTTTGTGTTGCTTTGTAGAGTCTGCAAACCTTGGGACAGCACAGTGTCTTGCAAAGGAGTTGGAGAAATGTAACCAGGATTCCTTGTGGTGTCTTAACTTCCCTTGGACTTCTTACAGCCTCACCCAACATTCTAATTCCATCCCTCACGGCAGGTGAAGGTAGGGATTTGTTCTGCCTCCTTTGAGTCAGGGCATTTTGTGTAGTTGTAATTCAGTCAAACAAGGAAGATAAACACCTTGTTAACCATTTGTAAGGTGTGACTAGTACAGCTCCCTCTGGTTTATTAAGGTAAAAGTGCTGTGTCCTGTTAAAATACAATGCACTTCTCAAAAAGCCTTTACTTAAGAAAATGGCTTTTTTATACCATCTAGTCAATTTCATATAATGATGTTTGGTTGAAAATATTTACAACATTTTAAAATCAAATTTTAGGACAGTAATCTTGAGGGGTTCTTTTAAAATCCTTAGAAATAATTAGCAGTCTTATTTAACTTCTTGGACAATTTATGCTGGTGAGAGAGTGCTTTGTCCGTTTCACATCGCTGGCAAAACGTGATGTTGCTGTGAGTAAGCTGGATAATGTTTATGGCTCTGCCACAGCAGTGAAGCTCTGCATAGTGGCCCTTTGGTTGCCTGAGGCTTTTCTTACTATACATGCTTGTTTAGCAGGGTTTGAAAATCATCTCTGGGAGCCAGCTATATGTTTATGCTGCAGATGCTCGTCTGGCCAGGGCTGTGTCCAGGCTGCAGCTGTGGCCGTAGCTGGAAGTGCTCTGCTCTGCAGGAGTGTCTGACTGCCTGGAGCTCGCTGCATCCTGACGCTGCAGGTCCCTGCTCTCGCTCTGCCGAGCTCACCCGCACCAGAGGAGCTCCAGCCTCTCTCCACAGACCTGATCCATCTGCAGGAAAGGGCTCAGGATGAGCAGGTCAGGGTGGGGTTGGTGCAGGAGCAGAGACTCCTGGACACTCTGATTTGGCAGACTGGTAAGCCATTAGCTAGCCCAGGAGTTTAGCAGGATGTAAACTGAGTTTGATGCTTCAGAGAGTGAGGATGTGAGAGCAGCATGTGCTGAAAATGAACAAGGCTTTAAGGGGGTTCCATTCCTTTTCCTCAGTATTGTTCCCTTCTGATACAGTTATAAGATGCTTTCTAGGTGTTGCTGAAGGCATATGGAACTTCTGAGGACTGGGTGGCAGTGCCTGTCCTCTGAGGAAAGCCTCTTCTACAGTAGACAGTTAATAAATGAATGCATTCTTTTGTGACTATAAATTCCTAGTCATAAGTTCAAATCTGTGTGGTGAATTTCTTAATTAATTTCATTTATTCTGTTTTCTGATTTCCTTGCTCAAGGACTGCTCTGTGTGTGTAAGAATAGTAGGTCACATGCTCTGGGATGCTTCTTTCAAATATCACCATGCTGGTTATTTTAGAAAGGTTTTGTCTAACCTAACTCATTCTGGACACTTTTCCCACCTGCAGGTTTCCTGAGGGATGCAAAAGCTTAGCAGGTGTATACTGAAGGCTTTTCCTTTGCTGGCCAAATGTTTGCTCATGTCCTAAATATAACTTCTGGGAATTTGTGTTTGTTTTGGAGCTGGGGAGCACTTTTCTCTTTTACTCTCTTTATAGATTCAGAGAATTTAAGCATATGATTAACATTAAACATGTGAATATTCTCCGCGGACTCATTTTTTGGATCAAAGGCAGAGTGCTCAGTCTGTTGAGAGGATGGAGCCCACAACCACTAAATGCAGGGAGCTGATCTGCTGCTGTGCTTGTCTGAAAGAAGTATATGATATGAGTGCTTTGGATTTATGTCTGTCTGTGCCCCAAATCCCTCTGCTAACTGCTGTCTTGATGTTGCTTATCTACAAAGTGCTTACAAGCATTAACAAACCTTTGTGGTGCTGCTGAGATGTGCTGTTATCCCCCTTTTCCATAAGGTGATGCTGAGAGAGTTTGGTGATCTCCTGAGACCACTGTGGGTTATGGACAAAGCTGGGCATTGAACGAGGGGCTGTGAATTCCCAGCCTGGAAGGGGCAGCAGCACAGCTCTCTGGCAGTACTGGCTGCAACATTGCCATCTCTCACGCTGCCAGAATGCTTCCCAGATTTCCATCCTGACACAGAAGCTTCTCATATCATCTGCTGGATCAGGCTGCAATGCAAAATTCAGCCTGTCTGCAGGAGTGAGCAGTGGCCTGTTAAGGGAAGGAATCTCAGAGTGAATTGTGTCCGTGCTGGCTCTCAGCCTTGCTGGATGCTACAGGCAGAGCTGATGCGTCAAGAATCCTCTAATCTGAGCTTAGAGAAAAGGGAATTTTTCCATCTTCTCTAAGTACAGTGATTCTTGATTTCTTGCTGATTTAAAAACACTCGTAGTGCCTCTACCAAGCAGGGAGCCCGAGTCCATGTGTATAAATATAGAAACACTAGGTGTGTGTGCCTATGAGCTGGCAAATGAATCAGTTTCCAAATCTGAACTTGGCATGGTGTCACTTTTGGCTCCAAGGTGGTTGTTTTTAGTCTTCCTAGTTTTATTGTGCTTCACTTGATTAAATTAGAAGAATTTCTTGAAAGAGAATGGGCAAAATTCAAACATGGAAGCACATGCTTTGCACCGTGCTTGTGCAGAGGTGAGAGGCCAGTGTCTGCCTCCCTCCCTTGCCCCTGGTCCATGAGTCCCTCCTGGACCACTGCAGGATTCCAGGACACTGGGAAACTCTGGTGGCCAGGCAGGCTTAGGCTGGGTCCAGAAATAAGGCAGTGCTGTGACAAAGGCAAGGTTCTGTGTTTGTTGAATATTTCCTTTAGGAAATGCAATTCATCAAAATCCAGTGCTCTGCAATATAAGTCTGGTGACAAACTTGCACTAATTCTCAAGTTTTCCACAAGACAGCAATCTGCTGTACCTGCACACACAAACATGTGAGGGACAGACAAGCCCTAATTGGGAATTTATTACCTTTATGTGCTGGGTGAATGAGCCATCCTGAGCTTTTGCATATATATAATGGCATCTTTTCTTCTTTCCTTTTAT